GTATGTATGTATGTATGTATGTATGTATGTATGTATGTATGTATGTACGTATTCAATTATATCTTTGGTATATAGTTGTTTTGTTGCAGGTTCAGGCACAGCAAGGCCAACAGGCCCATGGTGCAGGCAAGTGGTCTAGAGACTGAGGGATTCGATGATTTGGGATTCTTCCATCAGAGTGAATATCCCTCAGTTTTGTGATGATTTGATTTTGTTGTGAAAAGCCATCACACTGAATCTTTGTCACTGCGTTCTGTTTGCAGGTGTTCGCTCAATGTCTCCTTCCATAGTCCACAGCATGTCGCCAGTGATGTCTGTGCCCACATTGAGGCCGGTGGCTGTATGCTTTAGACATGTTGCGAGTAAGAATTATAGATTGAAGACATTTCGCAGGACACAAAAACGTGTTATCAACAGACATTGAAACATTTTGATCATTTTATGTCAATCCTTTTGTACCGTTGTGGACTTTCCAAAATGTGTTTTACATCAACGTAGGATGGCATGCAGCTCCAACCCGCTGTTTATGGGCAGGGGTGCGATGCCCACCACCCCTGCCTGAAGCTCAGAAAGGTGGTACAGATTGTGGCACAGATTGATGTGAATGCGCAGTCAAGTTCATCTAAGCCAAAGCAACCAAGGAAAGCATAGAACACCATGAATAATCTCGTTGTTTCCATCATCTCAATAATGTTGTTCAATGATATCATGTGAACCAAGCTCTGCAGACACTGAATTGCTTCCCCCACCAACTGGACGTCCCAGGCATCCTTGCGATCGATGTCGCCTGAGACCATGATTGTATTGGTCTGAGTTTCACCCACCGACCCAAAGAAGCCAATGGGGCACTTGTGTGAGTTTAAGCGAATTTATAGTGGTGTGATTGTAGCTATTGTGTATATATATATACACATACATTTCATCACGACTATATTGCAAAAAGTATTTTATGTATCCCTTAGGTTTCTTTTGCATTTTGTGTACCTTGTGGGTCTTATCCTATCTAATCTTTCTCATCTATTTTTATCTTGTCTCATATTGTCTTATGTCACCGTATCCTATCTTATCTTATTTTATCTTACTTTATCTTTTCTTATCTGATCTTATCTGATCCTATCTGATCGTATTTTATCTTATTTCGGTTTCTCATCTATTGACCTCTTTTATCTATCCTATCTGTCTTATCAATCCCGTCTATCATATTTATCCTATCTTTCTTATCATTATTATCTATCTTATCTATCCATTCTTTATCCTATCTATCTTATTTGTCTTATCTTTATCCTATCTACAGTATCTGATCTATCTGATCTGTTTTGTCTATCTTGGTCTATCTTGGTGTATTCGGTCTATCTTGTCCATCTTGTGTTTCTGATCTCTCGATCTATCCATCTGTCTCTCTTATCTATCTTAGGTGTCTTATTTATATATGTATATATTTATATATCTATGTATCTGTGTATCTATGTGTCTATGTGTCTATGTATCGATGTATGTATCTATGTATCTATCTATTTGTTTGTCTGTCTACCTATCTATCTATCTATCTATCTATCGCTTGGCCAATTAGTACTCTTTTTTCCGCATGCCATTAAAGACATCGCATGGATTGGCAACATCCAACGAACAGATAGAACATGATTATGGTTGGATTCTTGGCATGGGGTTGGTTTTGAATCTGTCTTTGACCCCCTGTACGTTCCTTAAATGTGGTTTTGTAGAAGATTGTTGGAGGGTTCTTGGGGTTGTTTGTGGTGGTTTTTTTGGTCCTTGTTGGCTCCCGAAGTTCTGTTTTGGAGCTGTCCCGTTCAGGAGCTGGCAGTGTTTTGCAAGACTTCCAGGTCACCGGATGCCTTGCATTTCGTGCCGAATTGGATGCCAGCTTGGAGTTGGTCGTGCTTCATGATGATGGCCATTTGCAGCCTTGCGTGGGACCTGTCAACACCACAGGTTGTTTGGCATTCTGCTGCACATTCCCCAGGTTCGCTCTTCATGTCCAAGTGGCTGAGGATGAATGCGTTCTTCCCAGTTCTTCCATTCGTGACTCTCAATTGATCCCCTTTTCCAAGGGGTCAATGGTCGGGACGTCAATGGTCAGGTCACGAACTGAAGAAGTTGTTTGGTACCGTACCATTTTGATGTTTGTTGGTGGTCATTTAAAGTGTCTTTTGGTTTGGGCCCCTGTCCTTTTCCAGATCCTGATACCAATGTGTGCAAGGTTCTACTATGAACTTCTGCCTCCTGCAATCAACGTGATGATGGGCATCGCAATAGCTTGGTTTAGTTTCCAGAAGCTTGATGGCCACAAGCAGACATTGGATCAGATGGAATCCTTTGATTTGAGAAATGCTCAGTGCACCTTGGAAACGGATCGGGTAGTACTTCAGAGGCTAGTGCAAGATCTTTTTGATGAGGCATTGGAACCTCCTTTGTCAGTATCCCTTGATGCGGGAGAGGTGTCCGAGACGGACACAGATTCTTTGAGTCCCCTTGTTTTGAAGCAATCTTTGCAAGACGTTCGTCATGTCACCAGCTACCCGACGGAAGAAGAAGTCATTGACCAGTTCAATGCCTATGTGAGGGGCCCATTGCGTGATAGAGTCATGAGCTTGATAGGTCGTGAGATCGACATCTCGTTGGAACTGCGCGCGGTATCCAATCTGCCGCTCGTACTCCTGGGAGTTTTCCTGGTTTTCAGCTGTGATCGTCACTCAAATTGCTCTGGTGCCCTCATTGAAGGCTACTCGTCGGTGTCTCACTACATCTTGACTACTGCTGTGGTAAACTGTGTCATTGTACCCCTTATTTTGGTTGCCTTTACATTTCCGCTGGCACTACGTGCCAACCACCTGCTGACCTTGGTCGTCAAGGGGAAGGTGTTGCGCATGCTTTGCGGAATATTTGTCAGCACTCTGGTCTTGGCGTTGAATAATGCCTGGGCAGCTGCTGGGGCCGCCGGAATGATGGTGATTATGTGTGAACCTTCCACGATAGGCGTGGCTGTCTACTTGGGCCTTGGCTTTCTCATGTGTTGTTCGGCCTGGTTCCTCCACCCCAACATGGCGCGAACACAACGCCAGCCAGCTGTGAGCGTAGCGAAGACCTTTTGCTTCGCTGGATAAGCATCTTTGGCTCTCCCAGAGAACGAGTCCGATTTGGACTTTTCCATGTAGTGTGGAACACCGCGGATGGGGAACTGAGATGTGTAGAAAAAACCAAAGCCCTTCCCAGACACGAAACACACGTTTAGATCCTCTTGAGAACTTTGCTGTTCCCGCCATGTTGACACACATTGACGCACGACATGTCACGACTCGAGCTGCTTCTACCTGTACAATCATCGGGACGTTTGGGTTTGCCTTGAAGCCACAGCCTGAAACCCTGCCCAGACTGCTGTTAGGGCCATTCAGCCACGGTTCCGTTTGCCATGGTTAAGCAGTGCATGAAGACACCCCGCTCACAAAACAGGACCACTCTAGAGGAAAGCCATCAAATCATGTGGTCTATTCTATCTTGGATGTTCACCGACAAGCTACAGCAGTTGGAGGAGGGCGCCACTGAGAGGCCCTGTTCGTCGTAGACGATATTTGAACATGTTGATGCGCAGTCCATTTGCTTCAATTTATGTTTTAGCAAATAATCTTTTGCATTTGATCTCCGGTGGTCTTGAACAAGAGGAAGCGATCCGTTGCTGAGGATTCCCGCCTATGAGTGTGCCAAGATCATGCAGAACCCCTGGAAGAAATTAGTGTCTTGGACTAAAACCATATTCCAAGATAGACAGGTGTAAGTAGGTTGGAGGCCATCGCTTCTAAGTTGGAGGCCATCGCTAGTAGGTTGGAGGCCATTGCTATTAGGTTCCTTAAATATTCCAAGATTGACAGCTGTTTTGTGTTCAATAATTGGATGAGGAGGATCTTTATGTATTGTCTTGGTTTCATGAGCTTAGGAGGCGTGCATTAAACATATCTGAGAACCTGTGGGGGATGCTCTGGGTGAGCGCAACTAGCAAAACTTCGGAGGTGCCAAAGCCACACATAATTCGAACATGAAACTCACCCGTCAGCAGTTGTTTTCCACATTTTTCCACACAAATTCCCATTCTGGTCCAGACAAAGCCATCCACTGTTCCAGGCGGTGAAAAGTCTCAGCACCATTCACAACAAAAGGCATTCTTTCGTTGACATAATGTTCAACCACTGGAATGCTGACTGGGAATCTCATTGCCCGGTGAGGGCTGTTTGGGGCTCCCAGGGCGTAGCCGCCAGACGCAAGGATTCCCATGCGTACAAATTAAATTTGGAAATCAGAGTACGTACAAACCTGACCACTTTGATATTCGACCTTCAGAAGTCGTCGCCGGAATTCTCGCGGGAATTCGTCGCCTCGTTCGAACGGTGCAGACGTCCGATGAGGTCCTGGGGCAGATTGATTATGTGACCACCTTTTTGCCACACGCTTGCAGCACTTGTGACTTGTGACGCCCTCACTCCGCAGACGAAGGGGCCTGTTTGTAATCATTTGTGATGTCAGCTAGGCACCCCACCCCGGGCGGCCCTAGCTGGATCCAACCTCTCCATTCATGAGTCCATCAAGATGACTCCAACCATCTCAATTTCAGGTCAGACGGAGTCATCTTCATTCATATGAATGACTTGGACCCGACAATGGCACCTACATGACGTCGTGCCTCCGTCCTCACCTAACCTGAGGTACGGTACGACTGGATCGTTAGGGATATGAATTCATGATCCAACATGACTTCACTCTTTGTTTTGGACCTCGGAGTCTCTCCATTCGGTACCGTGACCACGCTAGACGGACCAAAGCATGTTCGCTCGAGTCCACCATCCTTAGGGATCCACTGAAGGTATTTGGATGCCGCATGGGCATGTAGTGAAAGACCTCCCAGGTAGTGCCCGCAATTGAGCTACATTGACCCTTCGATTTTGGCTACCCCCCCCACACGCGCGCGCGCGAAAAAAAGCTCCTAGTAGCGTTCTTTTGTCAAGTAGTAAGGCCAGGAGCCCATAGGAGCCCCTAGTAGCGATGCCCTTTGCTCCTAGTAGCGTCCTCTCACCCCTGATCAGCCAATCTTCCTGTCCCTTGGATTCTGAGGGCCAATGCTGCACCGGTCTGACCTGACATCTAATCCGCAAAGCGGTCCGGTCTGACCTGTCCCATCCATGGCCCCCCTGGTCCCAGTGCTGCACCTCAGGACTTCAAGTCGTGTCTTTGGTATGATCAACTGCAGGGACTGCATGAGGTTAGTTCCTCACTTGTACTGTAAAATTCTGCTTGCAAATCTCTCACGGCGGACCCGAATCGTCAAAGATTGAGTCCTGATTCAAAATCAGGTGAGGCTACTTGGGTTCCCAAGTGCCTTCCCAATGCAAATTGTGCTGATGTCAGTTTGGTTGGTTCCCCTGTTGATCTGGTATAGAATCAAATCGGAAGATGTTGAAAATCAAAACATGCCTAATTAAGATACCAGGGTGCATGCTTCCAAGAAACAAAGTAGACGAGAACTATGTTTCGATCTGCATTGGAAGCACTGCGTTGCTGATTGGAAATCCTTTGCTGATTATATAGTTTGAACAGCTTTGAAGGCTCCCCTTACTCGTAAAAAATAAACTAGCGTTCACCCTTCTCTTGTGCTGCCATTCACTCCATTTCATCCCCAAGCGTGCAGTAAGGATTGGCAGTGAAGATATGTTCTGGATCAAGGATGCCACAAGTTGTTGAGGGTGTCCATGCCCTGCCAGGGTCTTCGGAGCTTGCTGGCATCCATCCACCCATCCATCCCATGGGTTTCCGTACCCCACCGACTTTAAGGACCCTCCACACGGATGCAGATGCTACAGCGGATGCCTCAGCTGTGGTCGAAGCTGTCGGTGGATGCTGCGGCCGGTGCTGAAATAGAAAGATCTCCCACCCAGACGCACGCTCCAACAAAAAGACACAGACGCTCCGTGAAAACAGCCTTTGACCCGAATCCCTCAAAGCCTAGGGAATGGTGAGAAACCTTAGACCCCTGCAGGATTCGGGTCCAAACGGGTCGCGTCTGGGGGCAACGACGACGGCCCCCCGAAACCAGTGCCGGCGGGAAGGGATGAAACACCGTGAAACGGCCGTGAAACGGAGTCCTTCGCACCTGTGCTGCCCGTGCTGCCGGTGGAGCAAGTTCGTTCTTGGAAAACCAGGGGAAGTTGGTTTCAGAAGGGTCGATCTGGTTCTGCATGTTCTTCACTGACTGGTTGATCTGGTTGCTTTCTAGAAGAACTGTGAGATCCTGTATACGCAAGCTTCATGATGCCGGCCAGATTAAAAGGACTGCATGGCTGATGGCCAACTGGAGCAAGTTGTTTGAGTGCAGATTGCAAACAAGTCTTCACCCTTGTACTCATATCACTTCGCTACTAGCATGGAGGCCATGGCTACTAGGTTGGAGGCCATCACTAGTAGGTTGGAGGCCATGACTCACGTCTTCCGGCTGCACTCAAGTGAGAATGCTCCAGGGCGTGGTTATGGCTCCAAGGTCCGTTGAATCCACGGCCCTTCTCTCCAGTGGCTTGCGGGCGCATTCTTTTGGAACGATTTATGTTTGTGGACGGGAAGTGTTTGTGGGGAAAAATTTTAACAGTATGGTCGCCTACAAGGGTGTGCATTTTGGAAGACACCCTGGACCTCCCTTGCTGGGACATGTTTCCCAAGAATAGATATTTCGGTCGCCGCTTTCTTTGCCAACCTCCGGAGATTGTTTTTTGTCCAGCAAGGTGGCGAAGCCTCACTTTGCACCTGCGCAGAACTCTTCGGTGCTCTACTATGTAGATGATGAGACCATGACAGGCCGCCAGAACTCTTCGGGACGTCGGGCCGTCCAATCGTATTTGGACATCGGACGCTCAGTTCACGTTGAAATTTACTTGAGTTTGATCAGTCAACGATCGAGCTTGGTGCAGAAATCTTTGTCTCACCCACAAAAAATGGCTAAACTGATCAGATTGTCCTACAAGTTACTGTGGGCATTCCAGTGGGCAAGGTCACAGGGAAGGTTAGCCACAAACCTGGAACCGGAGTGACCTCTATTTGGATCCAAAAATATGGTCAAACTTCCTATCCAAAACAGGGTTCATGTTTAGCTTCTAGGATCTTCTATAGGTATATAGTCACTAAGTATAGTGAAATGGTTTAAACAAAATTACACAACCGTAGACCCCAAACAGTTTGTGTTTTTTCAAAATCGAAACTAGAGCTTGCGACGTCCAGAGCTGGGAGACAAAGGATTGCAAGGCAGAGGCGGCCACAGCAGCCCAGAGCTGGGAGACGAACGTAAAGGATTGCAAGGCAGAGACGGACACAGCAGTACAGAGCGGGCGGACACATCTTAAGAAAGAATTGAGAAGCCCTGACAGTAAACCTCTTGGGGAATTATTCTTCAAAACATGATGCTGGTCATGCTGCTCAATCAACAAGGAGCTGACCACGTGAGGACAAGAAATAGAAGCATGAGGAGCGAAGGATATGACATGAAATTGATTTTTGGTGCCTGATGCATGCCTTCCGTCCCAACTGAATAGAGAGATCGCTGCCACGCCGCCAAAATCCAATCCGGTCATTCATCCAACGCCTGCCTGAAAAGGAAAACAAAGCAGAGAGAGTTACACAGTGTGGCAGGAATGCACTCCCGGAGATAGTTACGCGGCAGAAAACAGCAGTGCAGGCACCAAACCTGAAAGACAAAAAGAAAGAAGTCGCATGGGAGACAAATGAATAGAAATGCTACATGGCCAGCGGAAAAGGGCGGCAGCACCAATGAATAGAAATGTTGCATCGCCAGCGGAAAAGGGCGGACACCAACAGTGACAGACCTGGGAGACTAATGCATGGCCGTAGACAAGGGCGGACACAGCAGTGACAGACCTGGTAGACAACTGAATAGAAATGCTACATTGCCTGCGGAAAAGAGCGGACACCAGCAGTGATAGAAATGCTTCATGGCCAACGGACAAGGACGGACACCACCAGTGACAGACCTGAAAGACAAATGAATAGAAATGCTACATGGCACCAGCAGTGACGGACCTGGGAGAC